CCCCAAAACCCCAAAACCCCAAAACCCCAAAACCCCAAAACCCCAAAACCCCACGTGTTTGTAAATAATTTATAAAATGGGACTCAAGTCAAGCTCCTTTACAAAACTCTGAACAGCAAAGTGCTTGCTGATCATTGCATTTGTTCTGTGCTTCGCCAAAGTATACGCAAACAACGACTTTTACCAGCTTCTGGGAGTGACTCAAGACACTTCGGAGCGAGAAGTCAAGAAGGCTTTTAGACGCAAGAGTGTGTTGTATCATCCTGACAAAAACCCAGGAAATGAAACTGCAGCCGAGCTCTTCCGGAGAATCAACAGAGCCAATGAAGTGCTGACCGACCCAGACAAGAAGATGGTCTACGACAAATTCGGAGAAGACTATTTGGAGCGATATGAAAGAGGAGAAACTCAGATCCAGAGAGGCCCAGATTCCAAGCTCGAAGTCGAGGTTACTCTTGAGCAGCTGTACAACGGAGATGAAGCCGAAGTCAGCATCAGCAGAGATGTCATCTGCGACAAGTGCAAAGGAACTGGTGCCAAAGGAGGCAAAACCAAGAAGTGTAATGAATGCCATGGAAGAGGAACCACAATCCAGAATGTTCAAGTCGGATTCGGAATGCAAATGCAGATGCAGCAACCTTGTCCACAGTGAGGAGGAACTGGCCGGACTTTTGCTCACAAGTGTGATAAATGTCATGGAAACAAAGTTCACCTTGAGTCCAAGACTCTTGAGTATATTATCGAGCCAGGAATGGTCAACGAAGAGAAAATTGTATTTGAGAGAGAAGGTCAGCAACAGCCAGAAGTCATCCCAGGAGATGTCATCCTCATACTCAAACAGAAAAAGCACAAGCGGTTTAGCAGAGTCGAAAACGATCTTTACACTGAAATGAAGCTTACACTTGAAGAAGCCTTGCTTGGATTCTCAAAGCCAATGAAAATGCTCGATAACAGAACAATCGAAATTAGGTCGGAGTCAGGTGAAATCATCCAGCCTTTCAGCTGGAAAGTGATCGAAGGAGAAGGAATGCCTCTACGAGAAGACCCCTCAGAGAAAGGAAAACTCCATATCAAGTTCAAAGTGAGTGTCCCCAAGAAGCTGACCGACAAGCAGAAAGAACTTGTTGAGAAAATATTCAAAGGGGATCCTCAAGAATAGTTCAACATTGATTCTGGAACTGGGGTTTTGGGGTTTTGGGGTTTTGGGGTTTTGGGG